ACAGTTTTCATACAAAATATTGAGTATAGGTTCCAAATTTACCACTTACGCTATGACACAGACCAAATACCAAGAGGGACCAAAAAAAAAACAGATCGCACAAAGCAATTCCAAGGGATTCACATGCTGGAATTAGTATACCAAAAAATATACCTATAATTAACACACTGCAGAATTTAACAATATGAAAGAAGTTTTCACCAGAAAATCAGAATCAATATAAAAGGGACTTCTAGAACTATAAAATATAATTACTAAAATTAAGAACTCAACAGATAAGGTTGAAAAACAGACTCAATATAGCAGAAGAAATTATTAATAAAATGGAAAGCAGATAAAAATCGAAGCACAGAACTGGACATGCAGCTCAGTGCCAGAACATTTGCCAATGTGTGTGAAGCCCTGGGTTCAATCCCCAGTAGCAAAACAAAACAACCTGAAGCACACAGAAAAAAGTGAAATGGAAAATATGCAAAAGACTGCAAGAGATACATGTGATATATAAAAAGACAAAGATATAATACAGAGCAGAGAGAGAATGAAACAGTAAATGTGTTTGAAGAGATAGGAGCAAACTGATTAAAGTTATCCATGCACAGGGCCGGAGATTTAGCTCAGTGGTTCTGCTGCCTGCCTTGCAAATGCAAGGTCTTAAATTCGATCCCTGATACCACCCCCACCAAAAAACAATGCACAAATGCAAAAGTCACTAAGAACCCAAAGCAGGATTAGCAATCAATAAACAACAACAAAAAAAATAGTCAACACTGCTACACCTAGGAGCACTGATGAAAATGAAAACAAGAAGAAATGCTAAAAGCAGACAGAGAAAAAAGACATCTTGCCTTCAAAAGAGTAACAAAAACATTAGCGGATGGCTAATTTGGCAACAGAAATGATGGCAGTCTGAAGACAATGGAACAATGTTTTGAATTACTGGGGAAAACTGCAAATACAGCATTCTACACTCCACAAAAGCATTCCAAGGTAAAGGTAAAATTAAGACATTTTCAGGAAAGTAAAAACTGAGAGGGTCTTTCACCTGAAAACCTTGACTTAAAAAGAAAAAAGAAAATGCTAATGGGAATTGAATTGACAGAAGAAAATGATTCCCGGATAAAAGAAAGCATAATACAGGAAAGAGTAAAGAGCACTGAGAAAATCTAAACATGTTGGCAAATGAAAATGAATATTTATTTTTTCTAAAAAAAGTAAAAGCCAGACATGGTGGTACATGCCTGTAATCCCAGCAAACTGAGAGGCTGAGGCAAGAGGATCACAAGTTTGAGCCTAGCCTGGGCAATTTAGCAAGACCCCTGTCTCAAAATAAGAAATAAAAAAGGCTGGGGACATAACTCAGGAAGCCCTGGGTTCAATCCCCAGTACAGAGGAAGGAAGGAAGGAAGGAA